TAAAACCTGAATCTATTCTAAGATCACTTTTTAAAACAAGGGAAAATAGAAGGAAATAAAAGAGATAGCTGTCAGATTAAACAACTGGCATAGATCATGGAATTCAATGAGCAGTAACAAAAGAGCTGCTATTTTAGAAGCTGTCAATCCAAACTGCTATGGATATTATGCCTGAAGTCATCTATCCTCCCAAACAGTATGAAGTCTCAAAGTGCAGTCTTCCAATTGTTCTTAATTATTTAGGAATTTATTTTCTTACTTCAAATTAAAAAAAAACCAAAACCAAACAGGATAAAAACAGGTACTTGGACAACAGTGACAAACAGTTGAGATTTTAGGGAACTCTTTTTTTGCTAAAAGCAGAAAAAGGTGAGAAGTAACCATCTTGCTAAAAGGGCAATATACAAAACTATGAATTTTTAGAACCTAAGATGACATAAACAAAAGTTTCCATTTACACTCTAAACTTTCAAACATGTTGTTTTTACACTCATTTTTTCAGCAATAGCACCTAATTATTTCAAAGGTATCTGAAATATCTTTCTGAGGTGAAAATTTTAAGTCACAGCTGGCATGAAGATTAATATTTCAAAGTGCTTAACTCAAACATCATTTCACCTCAATAAATTTGCCACACCATAACAGGCAGTAGGTGAAACCCTCCAACATAACAGAGCTTCAAATCACCAAGACCAGGTACGGGAAGAAGAGTTACTAGGCTAGCACATTAGATAGTTCCTTGCAGAATGCCAAGATGGTAGTGTTCACCAGGAATCTGTGCAATATTTTTAGGGGCAGTTTGCATACCAGCTCTCCAATTCTTACATTGTTAGTCAACTTAATGAAGTTACAGGTATGCCACTGGGTTTACTGCTTTAACAGTAATTGTATGTTGATACTATTCATGCTACCATCAGTTTTTAATTGACAGTACATGTGCCATGTGCATTATACAGACTAAATTATTAACACATTTATAATAATTCCTGAATTATTCTCCTACAACAGTGAAATATAGCTACAATTATGTACATTAGCTGAGGTCTGAAGAGACCTCTAGAGGTCATCTATTCTGAAATTCCTGCTCACAGTGAGCTGGTCAAGGCCTTGTCTTAAAAGATTTGTATGATTTCAGAGGGTGCCGACTCCAAAACCTCTCTAGGGAAACTGTTCTGGTGTTTGGTCACCCTCAGTTGATATACACTCACATTCATTTTCTCAGTTGATTCCCTGTACTTCAGTTTGTGTTCATTTCTTTTCAATCTGTCCCTTGGCATCACTGAGAAGCCTGGCTCATCCACCAGCCAGGTATTTATATACAAGGCTAAAACGTCCCAGAGCCTCCTCCTCTCCATGCTGAACAGTTCCACTTCTGTCAGTCCTTCCCCAGATATCAGATGCTTGAGGCCTTTAATCAGTGTTGTAGTCCTTTGCTGGACTGTCTCCAGAATGTCCAAGTCTCTCTTGCACTGGACAGCTAAGAACTGGACCCATCACTCCAGGTACTGAGCAGTGAGTGAAGGACCATCTCTCCCTTGACCTGCTGCCAGCATCCAGCTACTGCAGGCCAGGAAGCTGCTGACTTTTGCTGCAAGGGCCCACTGCTAGCCCACGGTCACCTTTTCTATCAGGACACACACACACAGAGGTCTTTCTGTGCAAAGCTGCTTTCCAGTCAGTCAGTCCAGCCTGTGCTGATACTTGGTCGTATTCCTCCTCAGGTGCAGGGTTTTGCACTCCTCTTGGTGGAAATTCATGAGAGTCCTACATGCCCATTTCTACAGCTCATCCAGGTCCCTGTGATATATCACCACCACTCTTCCCAGATTTATCATCACCTACAAACTTGCTGAGGACACACTTTGTGCCATCATCCAGATCATTAACTGCCTTGGTATCAATGCCTTTAGTATTGTTAATACCTCCAGCTACACTTCTGGCTGCTGATCACAACTTAAGCCAGTTTCTGGCAAACCCTTCTGTACACTTACTTAGCCCATACCTGTCTAGAACACCTATGCCTAGAACAACCATGGGGAAAATGTCAAGTCTTGCTAAAGCTGAGATTATATTCACAGATCGCCCCACATCCACAGAACCAGTCACCACATTGTAGAAAGTATGGTTTCCCCTTGTAAATCCATCCTGACTACTTCCAAACATCTTTTTGTCCTGAAAACGTTAAAAAAGGATTTGTACCACAGTCTTCTCCCAAGGACTGAAGCAGCCTTCTGACACTACATATTTTGGCACAGTAGTAGAACATAAAAAAACTCTACGTGTATTTAAGAACATGAATTCATCTATAAAATTGCAGTCAGCACTGCTCATGTCCTACAAATTATTTAAATGAACATACGAAACAAATTGTTTCTATACCACATTGTTCTCTTCCTGAATTAATTTTTTCTTCTGTTCTTACAGCAAACTCTTATTGCAAGTAATAAGAAAACATTTCTTATCAAACAACTTAACTGAATCATGACAGACTTAAAATATTGCAGAATAGAATTTTTCATTATAAATGCAAAATGGTATCTTAGCTCTGTGGTAAGCCACAATTTCGTTTAAGTCTCATTTTAGGATGGGGAAAAGCCCAGGAAGATAAAACTCATATAGCCTTTAATTAATGTACAGAGATACCATGCAGATATAAACAACATTTATGCAGGGGGGGAAAACCAAACAAAACCAACAATTACTCCAGGGTTAGTACTATATCTATGTCAATTTTTGGTTTATATATAATTTATATATATATATTTCTCCATACATATTGATACTAATACATAAATAAAAACTTTTCAAGAACCTCTCATGACAAAATTCCTGCAACTTTAGACCATAAGTACGTAACTCCCTACACAATGTGTTGCAGAGAGCAATTATTCTGTAGTATATTTTCCATGTTCTACTGGAACCACAGCATAAAAAATAAGCAAGCCAAACTAACATTAATGAAGGCTTCACTATTGCTTTTTATAGTCAATTTATGGTGCAGTGTTCTATATTTGACACGATCTGGGAAGATCCATGTAGGATTAAAATACTGTATTTTAAGAAACATACACTGAAATTGTTCAGTTTTAACATCAAGAATAGAAATTTATAAATGGAAGCCTTAGAAAGCTTGTATTAGTATCAACTATAGAACAGAAACTTTAAAAATTCCATCAAACTGCAGCAAAACATTCCCAAGGAGTATTTTACATTGATAAACAACAAATAAGAATTTTTTTGCTGACAGGAAGAGTTTTATTAGAGAACAGGTTTAAAAAGCAAGCTGTACTAATGCATGAAATAAGATTTAAGTTATTATGAAATTGAAAGGCTTAAAAAACAAGCATCTTTTTTAGTCTTGTCTATTAGTTCTGCAAGGAACAGTTCAGTAGTACCCATCCAGTACTATATCACAGAACAAAAGGATTTGTACACAAGAAGCAATTAAAATACTAAGGGAGTCTAATGAAATCCACAATCAAACAGCATTGGGACTGACTGATAAGACACTGGAAAAAATGAAACAGCACAAGAGCAGACAAAAGGCTTCAATCAGAAGCCCGCACCACCAAGTGGCTTGTGTTGTGTTTACTACATCAAAAACTGAATAATTTACATTAGACAAAAATCAGAATATTTTCAAGAAATCAGCTCAGTCTAGGAAATGCCATAACATTGGCACTGTTTTGTCCTTAGATCACTATGGAAGATATATCTAGATGTCTAGTTTTTGAAAAGGCAGAGATTTTTAACTTTTCTTTCTAACTCAGATATTCAGCTTAGGCACCATAGCAGATCAGTTACTTTCACCATGCAAAATATAACAACTATGTTCAGGAGTGTGGCCCAGAACAACTGCTTTCCCTCCACTTCAAACAAGCAGATATTCCAGTGTAAAACACAGGAGGGAAATGTAAAGGAGGAACTGACCCAAGTAAGAAAATTATCACCTCTTACAAAAAAATATTAATTCTGTATATAACTACCAACATACTGTGGTTCTAACACTCACTTTAAAGTCTACTTGCTGTGAGTGTTGCATCAAGTACCATTTTGCAGAACATGCTGAATCATCATCACATCTTTAGCTTACTGAACCCAGAAATGGAAATTATGATATTCTAAACTAGCAGCTTATCTGGCCATGGAAACTTCTCATCACCTTAGAGCCATCTCGTATGACTACCAATGAGACATTTCACAAAGAGAATGACTGACTGGAAGCAACACATGAACCATCAGAAAACCAAACAGACTTCACCAGCTATTTAATTCACTGGATTCCTCATTTCCCCAAAGTTTAAAAATAATTGGACCTAAGAACAGCTTAGAGCTCTGACCTGCAAAAACAACTGCTGAAAGGCAGATAGTCTTTTATGATTAAGATGCAGCTGTGTAAGGGAACCAAGACTCATTATTAGTATTGGCCTGTGGTGCTACTAGCTAGAAGAACTTCTGAAAATATCACCTATACAACCTTTGAGACTCAAGGCTGAAGCCTTCAGGCACTATGAACACAGTTTTCAAGCGTTTGCAAAGGTTAATGGAATTACAAAACAGAGCTATGCAACTACGAAAATTCAGAACTAGAACATAGCTTTAAAAATGAATACATTTTATACCTGTAGCAGAATTTTTCTTTGAAGAGAACTTCTTTTAAACTTCAGATCTTCAGCTGAGATAACTTTAAAAAAATTAATGCATTAACTCAAAAAAAAAAACTTCATTAGTACCTGAGACCCTACATCTTCAGGAAAATTTTAATGTCTTACAAAAAAAAAAATCTAGTTTGAGCTGTCAAGTGATCAGCATTGAAAGGATTTGTTCATGTACCTCAGAGGGAGTTTTTAAGAATAAACTGATATAGTCTTAACGATGGAGCTTTAAACTGAAATGTTAACTGACCTCTAGTGATAGCATTAAACACTTACTACAAAAAACCAAATTTTCCTTTTCTCTGCAGAAAAAAAGCTCTTTTATATAGAGACTTGATGCCTTACCTCTAGGTCACAGCTGTATTCTGTGCCATCCAGAAGCATCACTTTACACTGCACAGTTTTGATTTTCTTGGGAGATTTCTGGGGAATGTCATCTGTTTTAATTTCAGCTGTCTGCACTTCTTTTGTTTCCCTTTTTTCCTTTTCTTCTTTGTTTTCTTCCTTTTTCTCTGCAACTTTCTCTACTTCCATTTCTTTACCATCTTCTTTGACAAGCTATATAAAATACAGTTAAACAATGACTGCAAGTCAGGAAGGTGGATGTTTTTAACTTGTACATTTCTTTTATAAGCTACTAAGAAATAAGACATTAATTTTTCATTAAAGTTATGCACATACTAGAAGCACAACAACCAGCACAAGTATTAAGGTCTTCCTTGGGGACCAGATATTCTAGCTCTCAAACCACAGAAGGTGCCTTTTTTCCTTTCCTTGAAATTAGATAATTTTTCTATGTTTTATTGTCTTTTTTTTTTCCTAAGAGAAAGAACTCAAGAAGCAAGTTATACTTAACTAAAACCTAGCATTCATTAAGGACAAGTGATACAGAATCACAGAGTGGTTGAGGTTGGTAGGGACCTCATCATCATCTAGTCCACTGTGGTTAGTCACTTTGGAGACCAAGTATTGGGCCAGATGGACCCTCACTCTGATGGAATACTGTTGTTCTCCAGCTCTTGTTTTATTACGTTTCTCTGAGGGAAATGGCTCATGCATTTCTAAAAATGAGTACAACAAGAAAAAAAAACCTCTTCAAGGAAATAACAGGTACTTCACACCTCAAAATGTTTGCAGTCAGTCAGTTTGGGAGCATGTCCTGCATCAGGCTAAGGGTTTGATCTCTGAGTAGAGATGTGGGGGTTTGCCATCCCTCTGGAAATCCAGCTAAACTGGACAAACATAGTTTGTCAAAAACTGTACTTCACTTGTTTTTGGGTTGGGTGTTTGTTGGGTTTTTCTGGTGGTTCTTTTTGTTTGTTTGGTTGGGTTTTTTTTTTTGTTTTTTGTTGTTTGTTTGTTTTCTGTTTGTTTGTTTCAAATTTCTTCAGATGATCCACAGGTCTCATAAGAAGGTACACGCTTCCTCCCTACACAGAGACAGAGCTAATGCCTAGGCTGAGACGTGATTACCCATTCAATCCTTTCTGCTAGTACTGGGAAGAAATGTCAGAAATTTCCTCAGCATGTACTGCTAGAGAAAGGAGGAGGCAGGAAGAAGGGACCTACAATGATCATTTAGTCCAACTGCCTAGGGCCCCTCTAGGGGCACGTAGAGACGTTTACCCCAGGACCATATCTAGTTGAGGTTTTATTTTCTTCCCAGGTGAAGACTCCACAACATCCACAACCTGCTTCAGTGTTTGACCCATCGCTTTATTACTCGTGGGAGGCCTATCCTCTGCACCATCATCACCTGGGCTACATCCTTTCCTTACCAAGTAAAGGTCCCATCACCATCACAGTAAAAAGAATTTGTTTGAGATTTGAGATGTAATGTCATGGTTTTTATTTGGGTCCATTGTTTTTCGTCATCTAACTGCATACAACATTGGTAAGATTCCCCTCGATCCTTTTCTTCCCCAGGCTGACTAGTACCAACTGTTCAGCCCCTCCTCATATAAAACATTCTCTATGCACCTTATCTTTGGCAACCTAGAATATGAAGTTTGAATGTTAAGAACTGACATACAACTTCACAAAAACCAGTACTGAAGCCTACCTACTGGAGTAGCTATCATTTCTTCCCCCAATATGATACTAACAAAGCTTTGCATGAATTACATAAGTCATGAATTGGGTTTCATTAAAATTACTCTAAAGTATCTATGAGATTTCCCCACATGTACCTGTGGTGTTTCAGCACTGCTGACAGACTGTTTTTCCTTGTCATCTGCTTTAGCATTACGGTGATTTTCAGCTGCTTCTTCCAAGCTCTTTCTTGGCTGAGCCACCCCCTCTGGTGTCTGGCTTTCGCTTTCTCCAATTACTTGTTCTTCCCCTGTGGCCTTTTTCTTGGGCTCATCTTTGGGCTCTGCCAAGGTGTATGATTTTTGTTTCTTAAGCCAGGGGGGAAGGAAACGAGAAATACCCTTGCTTTCAGGTGAAGCTTTTTGCTTCTTCTGGCTACTTGGACTACTTTGGCTAGTTGGTTCTGGGAGAGAAGAATCTTGAGCTTCTTCAGAGGATGCTTCCTTGGACTTTTGATTTTCTGGAGTCTCTGATGCTTCTTCAGGCTTGTCCTTGGCTTTGTCTGGTCCCAGCTGCTCAGAATCTTTCTTTACTTCAGTCTCTGAGCCAACTTCAGTTGTCATCGTCACAACTGACACTAAAAAAAGCAACAACAAAAACAGTTTTGTTACACAGCATCACCACTTTTACTGACTAATTATTTGCAGTATTTTGGAAACTCTTGTAGATTATTAAACTTATTAGGGTTAAAGAAATACTTCTTTTCAAATTCTCAGTTCACAAGTAAAACCAGTGCACTAAAACTTAGTGCTCTGCAGGTACAGACTTGTAAAAGACCAAGCTAGACAGATACATCTAGAAATAGTTTCCTTCTCCTTGATAAAAATTTAAGTGTGCTCACTGAAATGCATTTGTCTTCTATGTAACTTCAGTTCTCTTTCTACTTGGCACCTCCGGCTGACCCAGAAACTGAAAATTTCAAAGAGTATCCACCTTCTCCAGTAAAACTAGCAGATACAACCCCCTTACTATTCAGGGATGCTTACCAATTTGAAAGAAATTATTGGAAGAAAATGAAAGAGCAAGATTACCAAAGAACAGGACAAAAGGATGGTGAGCACTAGACTGAATATAAAAAAAAATTGGAAATTATAAGTCAGTGATACTATTGAAGTTAATAATAATGCTGGCAAGCATACTTTTTTACATTAACATTGCGTTCTTAATCAGGAGTTCATATCAAGCAACAAAAAAAAATCATACATAATGCTTATACTCTCATCACTTTTAACTACTCTTCCTTCAGTGAAATTAAAGACATCATAATACTGTAACAACAGGATATGCAATAATAATAATTAATCTTAACATTAGTAATATGTATTGAAAAAATATTAACTAAAATGAACAAATTTTGTTATCTGCATGGCACTGGATTTTGCTGCATTGCTTTGAAAATGTAATATAACTATTCTTTATCCAATGTATTGAAGTGAGTCAACAAAAATAAGCATGTGAGGGTCCAACACAAGTTTAAAATAGTTAGATTCCATTAGATGTTACTGGCATTTTTTTTACACCCTTCTGAAAACAATTAATTTTAAACTGATGGTCTGTTTGTCTGGCCTGAAGTTTAGCAGGTTACTTACAACATAACATTTTTATCTTTACAACATTGGACCCTCTTCATTACAACTGATGGTGATCACTGCATGCTTGTAGAGTCAAGAGGTTATTAGTTCTGCACTCCTGCTAAACTCAACAGCTGTTGCCTCACCCCTGCCCAAAAAAAGAGTCAAGTAGGTTATCTAGTTCAGGCTGGATGCAATTAACTCACTCAACACTTTTAACTGCACTTGAAGTCAACTGGGAACTAGTTTAGGTCACAAGGCAGCAGCAATACTTTGCCTCCAGCTTTCCAAATCACATTCACAGGCAGTCAGAAATAGTTAAACTAAGCTATTCCCAAGGAGGGGGGAAAAAATTAAGGAAGTTAATAGATGCCGAAATATACAAGAGAAGCCATTCTGACAAAAGAGATGAACAATACTAAGTCAAAGGAAAAAATCTTGACAGTTACCTTATAAAGAAGCTTAGACAAAGGAGCCTTGAACTATTACAAATTCATATTAAGTAAGCTTCTTGAGACCCAATGTTGTGGGTGTTTCTTTGTTCAGCACTTAGCATTTCACCATCTAAACCCAAAACATTCCCCTATGGGGAAATGTAAATGAAAAGTGAGTATCTTTACTAGTACACTAGAGACTTCTAAATATATTTCAAGCTTAAGTATTACAGTTATGTAATTTCTATCACTTTTAATAAAATACTTGAAGTTTTATTAATATTAATAAAGCTTGTTGTGATAGAGTAGCAAACATCATATAAGTATTATTTATCTTAGAGGTAACAGGCCTCTGAAAGGCAGCTTTCCATTTGACGGTTGAGATTCAAGAATTTGCTATTTAAAGCTATGTACTAGTATGCTAGTTTTAAAGCTACTACTAGTCAAATTACGTTTTGCTATCACCTTGGAATTTTACACAGAAATGCTGTTGTTCTTACCTAATGGTAGGTTATCTATCTTAATGTTATAATGTAAAATTTTGTTATCAAACAAAAAAATAAATATATATAGAAAATCAACTTTTCCTGAGAGAAAAATCAAAATTTCTGCTGATTAGTGAATAACAATCCATGCTGCTTAATAAATTCAGGTTTCATTATTAACAGAGATGGTGTGGGGTTTTTTCACATATAGCTCTAAAATAGAACTAATTCCTTCTCACAAAGTAGCTAAAACAATTTCAGAAAAATTGATAAGCAAATCTTCAAAGAAGAACAGGAAAACCACTATACTTCCTGCATGCTTTTTTACTTTTCAAAATATGAAGAAATGCATAAAATAAATGTACAAACTAATAAAAATTCATTATCTACCACTCTCAAAATTAAGATCACATTTTGGTTATATGGTCAAAAGGAGACATCTCTAGAAAATTCCTTTGAACTGAGCAAAGTAAACACATTGCTGATGACACCAAACTGGGAGGGAGTGTCGACCTGCTGGAAGGCAGGAGAGCTCTGCAGAGGGATCTGGATAGACTTGAGAGATGGGCTGATTCCAATGGGATGAAGTTCAATAAAGCCAAGTGCCGGGTCCTGCACTTTGGCCACAACAACCCCCTGCAGCGCTACAGGCTGGGCACAGAGTGGCTGGAAAGCAGCCAGGCAGAAAGGGACCTGGGGGTACTAATTGACAGGAAGCTCAACATGAACCAACAGTGTGCCCAGGTGGCCAAGAAGGCCAATGGGATCTTGTCCTGTATCAAAAATAGCGGGGCCAGCAGGAGCAGGGAAGTGATCCTTCCCCTGTACTCTGCGCGTTGTGAGGCCACACCTTGATATTGTTTCAGTTCTGGGCCCCTCAGTTCAGAAAGGATATTGAGGTGGCTGGAGCGGGTCCAGAGAAGGCACAAGGCTGGTGAAGGACTGGAGCATAAGTCCTATGGGAGAGGCTGAGGGAGCTGGGGTTGTTTAGCCTGGAGAAGAGGAGGCTCAGAGGTGACCTCATCACCGTCTATAACTACCTGAAGGGAAGTTCTAGCCAGGTGGGGGTTGGTCTCTTCTCTCGGGCACTCAGCAATAGGACAAGGGGGCACGGGCTTAAGCTCCGCCAGGGGAAATTTAAGTTGGATATCAGGAGAAAATTCTTTACAGAGAGAGTAATCAGGCATTGGAATGGGCTGCCCAGAGAGGTGGTGGATTCACCATCCCTGGAGATTTTTAAACGCAGATTGGACGTGGCACTGAGTGCCATGATCTAGTAAATGGACTGGATTTGGACCAAGGGTTGGACTCGATGATCTCGGAGGTCTTTTCCAACCCAATCGATTCTATGATTCTATGATTCTATGATTCTATGATTCTATGATTCTATGATTCTATGATTCTATGATTCTATGATTCTATGATTCTATGATTCTATGATTCTATGATATTGTTCTAACAATAAAAGAAACTGAGGACATCAAGTTTACACATCTTAACTGATTAAATTTAGACAGGAAAGCAGTGGGTGGTACAAACTTGCTCAGTGTGAAATAAAGGTTCTGCATCTCAATGTGTCCAGGTTTTCATAAAGTTATAGTTAAAAGGAAAACTTGGGTTTATACTGCAGAAACAAGGGAACCTTGTTACAGCCCCTGTGCTGTCTGAATAGGTCTGTCCATGTCCACTTAAAGCCTTCATTCGATGCCTACAGCAGAAGGCACTTTCTTTCAGGAGCTCAGTTTCATATAAACTCGTTTCCAAGGAAAAAAAAATTAGGAATAGAGAGGAAATACCTACAAAACAAAACACACCTGTTTCCTAAGCCTGTATATTTCTTTATACTCTCAGTAGTCTGAATGAACTGTGAAGAAGTAGATGAATTTACTGAACAAGGGCACTGACCAACAGTACAAGGCATAGTTTTCCCAAAATGCCTACCTTCTCTACTACATAACCTTTTTTCTAGAGTTGCATTTTAAGCATGGATTAGTCACCCTTCGAGGAACAGAAAATTGGGTCTACCTACCTTCACCATACTCCCTATCTCAATGCTCTGTCCGATCCTCCAGTGTTTACTTCACCGAAAAACAGAGATAGGAGAGACAAAACACTGGAGTTCTGCCATCAGTCTACTGCTGCAGTTTGTAAAGCCTCTGATGTTACTTTCACTGTAGTCAAGCAGATCACGTAATCACCGTTTTCCGGAAAGGGCTTTTTCCTGATCCCCTCCTGCACTGATAGCAAAGATCTCACGAGATCCCACCCAGCCAATAATGCGCCAGAAAGAAAATGGAAATAAGAAGCAGACAGCATTTGTCTCAGATTGAGAAGAAATAAATCAAATTAGATTGAGAATTCAGAGTTCTAAATTTCAATCGTGTTCTCTTCCTCTCCTGTCTCCAAGTAAACTCTCATTTGCTCTTACTACATAGTATTAAGCACAGTATATATTTTTGCCCCTATAATTTTCTTAAGCTCTATAACAGCTGCAGCAGGATAGGGTTCTCCTCATCTTACCTTTTTTGTATTGCAAGGTAACATTAAATCCATTTCATTTTGCATTGAGAAAAGAGAATAAGAATATTGCAGCAAGAGTAGACAACAGAGAAGGAATCTTAAGGGAGATGCTCAAATAGAAGTATTACCAATATCTGAACAGAGAGGGAAAAATCTTGATAGATTTTGCAATTGACATTAAACCCCTGCACATTAAAACAAGTGATAACACCTGTATCTTTTGTAATCCTCCAGAAAACTTGGCTCATGCAGATTGAATGTCTACTCAAACTGCAAGGACCAAGGTGGGGGTGGGATGTCAAAAAGTACTAGAAACAATGTGGCAATTGCTGAAGAGAAAATGACTTTGTTAAAACAGGTCACACTTTATCAGGGAGCAGATAATCTGCCCTAATCATAACTCTACAACTTCCCCAAGCAAGGGTGCTGATCAGGAAGCAACTAAGGACAACAGATATTCTCTCTCCTCTCCATTCATCCCTTCCTCTCCATTTTTTATTCCACTGAGAAGATACTAATGCTGGCCAGAGTTGAGGCCTGAAGGCTGAACAGAATGCTAACTTCTTTCCTTACCACTCTTTCCTCTCAAATATACAGATTGGTCAGTTGGTTGATACCTTTCTTCCAGTTCCTAGCAGCAATTCTTGAAATGCAGTTTTCTGACCAGAAGGATTCCTAACACTATAGGTAAGATATAAAAAGAAGACATACCAAGTATAACATGAAAGAAAAAAAAAGGCGAGAGAAAGGGAAAGAAAAAAAAAATAATAGTTCCAAGATCACAGACAACGTTGAGCTAAAACCAACTGCCATGAAATGAAGCTTTCTGTGATGATCCACGTTTTAATTCACTGTTTCTATTATGGCATTTCTTATTTATCAGCATAGATGAACAAACCAAATCCTTTTTCCATACGTTTCTGGATCTCATTTTACTTATTTTCTGAGTACATAAAGTAGAAAAAAGTAGAAAGAGGTAGTCGTAAACTTTTCTTTTTTCAGTTTGCCACTGAAATTTATAGCAAACTCAAGAAATAAAAATTGTTTTGATAGTTATACCTCCACCAGTCTACTAGGATTCACAGATAAACCATCATGTCATAGAAGGAAAAAAAATAAATTATCAACCTACTTCTTCTGAAATAAAGTATAGCTCAGTGCACCTAAAAGCCATGTAATTTCCTGGAGCACCATATTTATTTTTAAAATTGTTACCTTCATAAATATTCCAAATACTCTGAAGCACAGCAGAAGACTGCTCCGCATTTCAGTTTGTTAGGACACATCATTTATATCAACAGTATGCTTGCTGCTTTCGACACATAAGATTTGTTGATGTAAAAACCATAAAAAAGTAAAATCCTAGCTGGAATATTCATTCAAATTTTAGAGTGTAAATGAGTCTAGTTTAACCAGTAGGTAATACCTGAGGAAACCAGGTACTATACCTAGAAGATATTTTCAAAAGCATAAATTATTTTCTGATGAGTACAATAATTTATATTTCAAATCAGGCTGAATGTACTAACTAAATAACCTTATTTTAGATTTTTTAAATTTTAAAACTTGTATTTTATCACCAGTATGTAAATAAGAAAACTCAT